AAGTTGAGGTATCTAGGCAATTTTCCTGAACATCATAAATGATATTCACAAAATTCACGTCGCTTGGTTTAAATCAATATCTAATACGTTATAGTTTTTATGAGTTTTTTATATAAAAACCAGAAAACAACGATACACGCAAAAATAGAAGCAGCTTATATATATATATATATATATATATATATATATATTGATTGTTTCTTTTCCGAACAGTAAATCCAATGGATTTACTGTTCGGAAAAGAAACAATCAATATATTGAAAAAATCCAGGACTTATCTATTGAATATATATATATATATATATATATATATATATATATATATATATATATTCCATAATTCGCTAATAAATAAAAACTTAACTAATAAAAATAAAAAATAGATGATGATTTAGACACTACTTGTCGCTAAAAAATATTAATATGCATAGATTTACTTGATCCATTATTGACAAACAAACTCAATTTTCTTTAATTTAATTTTAATCCGCTCAGACTTTTATTTTGTATATTTTAAGCATATTTAAATAATATGTCTATATATTCAGCAATTGAATTCAGCAAAATCAGTCTCTTTTCAGTGACACAAACTCGAAAAAAAACATTTTTGGTTGATAATATATGCTCTATATTATATCATGACATGCGATTTATATTTCAGACCATAATTGATTATACATTATATAAATCTAAATCCCAAAATAATAAGAAAAACTAAAAAATTTTATTCCGAAATGTATTGATTTGTTGACTTTTAAAAAACTGTTAAGGTTTAACTATGATGCAATTAATTGAATATATTTATTAATACCATAATTTCAAATTTTTTAGAAAATCGGAAGAGAACAATTAGGAATCAGTGATCTGGTCACGGAACATTATAAAATTCTCAAAAATACTGAAGAAATATATAAAAATTATGATGAAAATGTTATACAAAGCTCATCTAAAAAAGATGACACATCCAATAAACGTGACAATGAAAACGCCGTAAACACGAAAAGAAGTAAAATTATTCCAATACCAGATTCAATAAAAGACAAGCTTAATATTAATACTATACTCCATCCTTTAAATGCTACTGCTAGCAATATTATTAAAGAAGTTACAGATTTTAAGAACGAATATTTTCCATCAAATTATATCACAAATACTACTAGCAACTGCAATATCAACACAACGGATATACCTAATAATCTAAATTGGACAAGCACCAAATATACCAATGTATACAATCCTGATAACCCGAGTAAGGTATCAGGAAATAACAGAACAGGTATATTTATAGATGATCCAAGTTTACCACCAGCTGGACCTGATGGGAACCGAAACGTAACAATGAGCACACAGAGAGAAAACAAACAACCAGAAAGATCCTCAGATGCGCAAATTCCTGAAAATTTTCCGGATATGTCAGATCAAAATTTTAATATCAAAAATATTAACAATCCAAAATTTCGTAATGATAAATTCAAGAAAAAACATTTTCGAAATCGCATAGACCGTATAAAAATTTACGACAAACGTTATAAACACCTCGATCATGAAGAGCAAACGCGTCCAAATGGACATGAAGGTAAAGATAAAAATTATAAAGAAGACAAAGAGAGTTTGCAAAATGACTCAGAAGAAACTAGTATGTCAAGCATTGACTACAAATATTCGAAAAATATATTGAATAATAATAATCATCTAATAAATCCGCACAATAATGAACAAGGCACCCTTGGCAACACCAAGAATGCAAAGAAGCATTTTTTTCGCAACAGGCAAAAGAAAAAATTTCGAAAAAAGAAACAACGCGAAATTAACTCAAGAGACTTTGTCAAAAAGCATCCTGTTGGGGCAAGTATTCAACAACTTCAACATAAACGGAATAGAAGAGATTTTACTCAATAATGCAAAGTTTTATATGGAAGCTATATTAAAGCTAATGAATAATATTGACGAAATGATTGATAGAATAGAACAAAATTATGGAAATATTGAGAGAAAATATAAAAATGTAGATAAAATAGTTTTGCGCCGATTCAATGAAGAAAAGATTATAGAAAAATATGAAAATATAGACAAGCAAGTACAACCAATAGTTACAAATTTACTAAAACTATGAAACATGAAAACAAATTGTTAACTATTCTGCTGTTAATCTTATTTTTTTATAAAATATATTTATACAGAAAATTTTACATTTTATTGAAAACTTGTATCACCTTTCCTTCTCCTTACAATCAACAAATTTGAATAACTTGCCAACTATACTTATTGATTATATAAATATTTAACTATAATTACAATTTTACTTCATGCCAAAGAAACCTGTTTTAGGTCCTTTACTAGAATCTTTGTGACCATCAACATTTTGTTTACTGTTACCACCTGCCGAATCATCATTATGTCGTTCTCCACCATTAAGTCCAGGAATGCTATCCATACCCGGCAAGCTGCCACCAAGTCCGGGAATGCCATCCATTCCGGGTAAGCCACCATCAAGACCGTTAATGCTATCCTTACCAGGCAAGCCGCCACCATGACCAGGAATGTTACCCATATCCGGCAAGTCGCCGCCCGGACCAGAAATGCTATCCACACCGGGTATCCCGCCACCAAGACCGGGAATGCTGTCCGCACCGGGTGAGCCGCCGCCAAGACCGGGAATGCTATCCATACCGGGTATCCCGCCACCAAGACCGGGAATGCTGTCCGCACCGGGTAAGCCGCCACCAAGACCGGGAATGCTATCCATACCGGGTATCCCGCCACCAAGACCGGGAATGCTGTCCGCACCGGGTAAGCCGCCGCCAAGACCGGGAATGCTATCCATACCGGGTATCCCGCCACCAAGACCAGGAATGCCGTCCGCACCGGGTGAACCGCCGCCAAGACCGGGAATGCTATCCATACCGGGTATTCCGCCACCAAGACCGGGAATGCTGTCCGCACCGGGTGAACCGCCGCCAAGACCGGGAATGCTATCCATACCGGGTATCCCGCCACCAAGACCGGGAATGCTATCCATACCGGGTAAACCTTCATCAAGCCCGGGAATGCTATCCATACCCGGTAAGCCGCCACCAAGAGCGGGAATTTTATCCATACCGGGTAAGCCGCCATCAACATCAGGAATGCTACCCATACCGGGTAAGCCGCCGCCAATGCTATCTATTCCAGGCAGCCCAGCATCAATACCGGGGATGCTATCCATACCGGGTAACCCGCCATCAACACCAGGAATTCCATCCATACCGGGTAAGCCGCCGCCAATGCTATCTATCCCAGGAAGCCCGGCATCAATACCGAGAATGCTATCCATGCCTGGCAAACCACCGCCAATTCCAGAAAGACTATTCACACCAGAAGAAGCGCCAGATAACGAAGTCATTTTTTCACTCAGAACATTGCCATTAGTAACGTGTTCAATATCATTATCAGCATTTATTGTTTCTTCTCCGACGCTGTGACTTTCATAGGAATTTCCAGTACTCGATTCTTCGTATGCTGATCGCGGATTATGTGAAGTTTGATCATCATATTTTCCACCATAATTATCAGCATTTTGATGATCAGATGAATGGTCTGATGACCCATGGGAGTTAGTTCCATACTGATCAGATGAGCGATCATCCAGCCCACGGCGCTCATTTCCAAATTGACCAGACGAGCGATCATTCGATTCATGGTAATCAGTTCTATACTGATCAGATGGGCCATCATTTGTCCTATGAGAATTAGTTCCATATTGTTCAGATATCTCTGAATTCTCACTAGATTGCTCATAATCATGTCCTGAACCACTATGAAGATTATCATCATGAGAAGCTGTTTTTATATTGGGTAAATATGCTGCATTGCTAAAACCGGACCCTAAATTACTATTTTTAGTGCCACTTCGAGCCAGATCTGTACCATAACTCAATCCCGAAGAATCAATACTCCTACTAGACGCGTCAGGTAGATTAAAACTTCCTTTGTTACTAGGTATATTATCAGATGCAAATTCGGTATATTTTTGTCCATTAGTATCTATAACAGTTGAAGGGTCTTCTACATGGTTTCCATCGCTAATATGTGATACCTCTCCGAAATTTGACAATCCGGAAGGTATAAATCCTGGATTAGCCTTTCAAAAAATACCATATTATGTACTAGTTATATATATTATATACATTTATATATATATATATATATATATATATATATATTTATAATATCTTTAATTTAAAATAGTGATTTATACTTACATTTGATAATCCGATACACCACACAGTAGCATAAAAAACAATAACTTTCTGTGCCATTTTGGCAGACTGCAAAGTACTTATTAAAGACGTACTTTTTCATATTTATATACCTACAGACTATTTAATTAAGAAATAAGAGCTCACGGATTTTTTAAGTAAATTCACAAAGTCAACGCAGTTGTTCAAATTATTATATATTCAAATTTACTTTTGGTTCGTATTTTGATAAAAATAATATTGCAATAAGATTCATTGTGATAATAAAAATCAACAAAAGAAAAATTACATAAATATTTTTTATTTTGATTTAATTAATTAAATTTTGTTGTCTTATAAAGGACAAAGAAAACAAAATAAAGCACCAGATTAAATAAAAAATAGACCTTACTAAATAAACTGCGTTTGGAAATGCTAGAAATTCAATACAAACAACGATAATCAATAGCAGATTTATCAAGTTGCATATTGACATACATATTTCGACTCACTAAAATGAATTAAAAGTTTTTTTTAAGTTTTTCATCTGCATCTGGTTCGAAGACAAATCCTAAAATTATCTCTAAACATAATTAAATTTAATTATGCCATAAAACTGTAACTGTATATATTGTGGTTGAATCATTTCTTTTCATGGCATAAATGTTTCATTAATGACTAACAACTTAAAATAATAATTTTGAAAATTAACGCATATTTGTTAAACTGTTATTTTATTTTCGTTCATTTCATTATTATTCACATATACAACATGTTCGTTTTTTAGTGAAGTGGCAATGGTATCAATGGAAGCTGTGGCAAATCACAAGGTAGCTCAGGCATAGGTAAAGGCAAATCACAAGGTGGCTCCGGTTTTGGTAATGGTAAATCGCATGGTGGTTCCGGTTTAGGTGCTGGTAAATCACATGGTAGCGGTTTTGGTACTGATATATCACATGGTGGTTCAGGTTTTGGTGCTGGTAAATCGCACGGTGGTTCAGGTTTAGGCACTGGTAAATCGCATGGTGGTTCCGGTTTAGGTGCTGGTAAATCGCATGGTGGTTCAGGTTTTGGTAGTGGCAAATCGCAAGGTAGTTCTGGTTTAGGCACTGGTAAATCGCATGGTGGTTCCGGTTTAGGTGCTGGTAAATCACATGGTAGCGGTTTTGGTGCTGGTAAATCGCACGGTGGTTCAGGTTTTGGAGCTGGTATATCACATGGTGGTTCAGGTTTTGGAGCTGGTATATCACATGGTGGTTCAGGTTTTGGAGCTGGTATATCACATGGTGGTTCAGGTTTTGGTGCTGGTAAATCGCATGGTGGTTCAGGTTTTGGAGCTGGTAAATCGCATGGTGGTTCCGGTTTAGGTGCTGGTAAATCACATGGTAGCGGTTTTGGTGCTGGTAAATCGCACGGTGGTTCAGGTTTTGGAATTGGTATATCACATGGTGGTTCAGGTTTTGGTGCTGGTAAATCGCATGGTGGTTCAGGTTTTGGAGCTGGTAAATCGCATGGTGGTTCCGGTTTAGGTGCTGGTAAATCACATGGTAGCGGTTTTGGTGCTGGTAAATCGCACGGTGGTTCAGGTTTTGGAATTGGTATATCACATGGTGGTTCAGGTTTTGGTTCTGGTAAATCGCATGGTGGTTCAGGTTTTGGAGCTGGTAAATCGCATGGTGGTTCCGGTTTAGGTGCTGGTAAATCACATGGTAGCGGTTTTGGTGCTGGTAAATCGCACGGTGGTTCAGGTTTTGGAATTGGTATATCACATGGTGGTTCAGGTTTTGGTGCTGGTAAATCGCATGGTGGTTCAGGTTTTGGAGCTGGTAAATCGCATGGTGGTTCCGGTTTTGGTACTGGTAAGTCGCATGGTGGTTCGGGTTTAGGTACGGGTAAATCGCATGGTGGTTCGGGTTTAGGTACGGGTAAATCGCATGGTGGTTCCGGTTTGGGTACTGGTAGATTACAAGGCGGTTCTGGTTTTGGAAGCGGCATGTCACATAGATCAGGTTTTGGAATTTCCGGCCAATTTCCCGGTGTCTTAATAATACATTAAAACCATATATATTACTTATACTTAATTAATGAATATATTCCGCAATAGCAAAAATAGGAAAATCTAATTTTTGCTAACTGCAATTATATTTACTTACCGGCTTTGCACAGCAGCTAGATACTGCAATACACAATAGTACGATATTGAACATGATGATCACTGACACTTTCAGACCAGATCCTATCATTTTGTTCTATCTTACCATTTATATATGAAATGATTTGTTTATTTACTCACACATTACGTATATTTACTAGAGTAAAAAATAAATAAAGTTTAACTATTTATAACTCAATTGGCTGTAAATATTATTTGTTTTGAATTACGTACGCACTTCATGTGCAATCAGCTGAAGAAATAGAATTCTTTTTTTGTTATCCCTCGGATATAGAATAAAAATAATTATCATAAAATGAAATAATCAAATGTATCATTTGAGTTTTAGTGAATTTAGAGAAAGTCGTTATTGTTGTAAAACAGTTTGAATGTTTGCACTTTTTGAGAGCTGGTATAGTAAAAAATTAATAGGAAAATATGCATATGATGTTTGCAGTGCTTTTTGATCATAGGCCCATTCAAATATACAGAACATAAGACAGCATTTTTATTATACTTAATTTTGTACTGCAGAGAAAATTGTTCGGACCAGAGAAAATTAGCATATACCTATGGATTTTTTGGAACTATCAAGTAAAATTTTTCGCAATTCAATATACATATAGCATTTCTTCAAAATTGTCATGCAAAATTTTGATTCAGAAAGTTGAAACTGCACTATATACTTCGAAAGGCCAGATGGTATTACTAAAGATGCTACTTCAGAAATGATTGGATATAAGATCGGTGAAAAAATAAATTATTCAAATAACCACTAAAATGTTTTTTAACGATTTTTAACCACAATTGCCATACAAGTATAATATACATATAAATTTCAAAATAATTTGTATAATTGACCTCATGTGCAAAGCGAAACTTAATGACTTTAATAACTGAATGTTGGGTTATACAAATTCTGTATCTCTATATGTAATATTTCTATCAGAATTGGAAATTATCTGTCAAAGGGATGATTTTGTAATTAAAACTTCTACCCAGAGAGAAAATGGCTCGCAATCAAGCTTGTTTTCTATTCCACTAATCCGGGAAATTTCCACCAAACTTTCAGTGTTTACGACATCGCATATCGCATGGGATGATATATTCCTCTTTATAATATTGATTGGATTGTGAGAAATATTTTGAGTTGTGAATTCTGTAAAGCATCAAATGTAAGTAATTACTGCTATTATAGCGGTAGATAATATAAACAAATTTTGTAATAATACCTTTAAAATACTGGATATTCAACAAAATTCAATAATAAATTTACCGGACCTAACTTCTCCCATGTATTATTATGATACATTAGAAAGATGCACTTAAAATAGATATTTTTGGCGTTTGTTCGTTTTCAAGGTTAGGCTTTATATTTAAAACCCCTGACTGCACAGAAACCAAATAGCATTTTCACAGTTTTTAGTACCATTTCATATGAAAAAATTTAGCATAGCCTTGCTCTAACATTATTCTATTTTACGGCAGAATTGACTCATTAGCGAAGAACTTTGTTTGCATACATTTTTTGTAATTTTTCATGTAATTCACAGTTGTAGTCACTTATAGTTATTGCTTCTAAGTAAATAATTTGGAGCGCATTCCATAAATACTAAATTACGTTTTAATTAAAACTCAATAACTAATTGATTCACAATGATTTATTAGACATTGCTTTGAATAGATATATTTGATATATACTTTTGTTTATATATTATTAATGTCATGGCAACTATGATCTATATTGGAGCAAGTTTGCTCCATACTGCGGCCTCAAACGTTAGCATAAATTCTATTATTCACTTATTGAATAGTAATGAGATATTTTCATATTTACTATTTTCATATTTGGTATATAAACCTTTTGAAATGTTTATTATTTGTACTTTGATTCCATCGTGTATTCTGTGTCGTCAGGTCCTATTTTTCGTCTAGCTCTCTTCTTGAATTAATTCTACGTAACTGTAGCTGGCATATCAATGTTTGTTTGAATTTATGACATGTTGTATAATTATGAATTACTTCTTGAACTTTCTTATTGGTTAGTACCTTGATGATTAGTTGGCAAAATTATGGGGTGCATCTGATTATATGAGATATTTGCGTTTAGCAGCCTTCCGCCCGCTCTCAATAACTTTTGAACATAATTGTTATTATTTGTATCTTTATTCAATTCTTTACCGTAAACCTTTCCTTGTTCTTGCCGTATGATCAGATATCGTAACCCATTTATTTGATGTTTCATGCGGACCTTTATCTTATTATTTTTCTTTCTATTTAACCAAGATTTGTAATTAACTTCTTGAATAATTTTGCGTTGAAATAACTCCTTTATTTTCAACTCTAATTCTGATTTAATTTGTTTCTGTTTTTCAGCTCTGCTTTTGCGTTCTTCCTTTTTGCGATTATACCAAGCTCTATATGCAGCCTTCCTTGCTTTTCGTTCAGCTTGTCTATCCTTTTCTAGTTTCATGTTATTGCTTGAACATTTGTGAAATATAAAACAATCTTCCGCTAGAAGATCATCAGCTTTCTTGTTTAGTAATTTGACTTTTGATAAAGTATCTACATTGTGCTCTAATGCTAGTTTATCTTTCAATTTTGTAATAGTTCCTTGTAATAATAACTTTTCTTGACATTTACTTTCTAAGTGAGTATTTATTTCCTTAATTTCTTCTTTTAACTTGTTATTTTCATTTTTAAGCTCGTCGATCATATTTTTATCTATAATTGATTTACGTTTATTATCATCATCTAAGTTTTGTAGCAAATTATTATCTTTCTCTAATTGTTCATTACGCATTAATAATTTTTCAACTTGTCTACTTTTTTCACCTAAATCTGATTTTAAACCTTTCACTTCTATTTGTAAATTTGCCTCAATTTGTGCAAAATTCTCCTGCATGCGAACCATTTCTAACTTTGTTTCTTCTAGCAAAATAACAACATTTTCCTGTCTCTTACATTTTTCTGCATTATTTTGTTTGTTAACTAAATTAATTATTGTATTTTTCGTATCAGCATCATTTTGGTTACGAGATGCGATTAAATTCTCTATTGCAGCCAAAACCTTACGATATCTAATTTCCATCGCATCGCGATCATCTATAAGTTTATCTAAGTTTTGAATTATTAATTGATCTTGTGCTTTATTATATTCCTCAAAGGCTTTGTTAAGCCATCTTTTACGCATGTTAAGGTCTATAATAGTTATGTCTGAAGGATAATTGTTTACGAAATCTTCTACACGCGTTATATTCATTTTTGCGGCTCTGGTTTTGCCTATCAGTATGTTGAGATTTTTCATTTTCGATGCGATGGCTTTTCGTAAGTTTTAATAATCAAAATTCTCCTACCTTGATACTATGTGTGTGGACTGTATTTCTTGGCTGTATTTCTTCACTCTAATTCTTCAATGTAGTTTTTAATCCGGCTCGAGGGATCATTTTATGGAGCGCATTCCATAAATACTAAATTACGTTTTAATTAAAACTCAATAACTAACTGATTCACAATGATTTATTAGACATTGCTTTGAATAGATATATTTGATATATACTTTTGTTTATATATTATTAATGTCATGGCAACTATGATCTATATTGGAGCAAGTTTGCTCCATGATTGTTTCATATTTTAGTGATTTTATTCAATTTAACAGTATAAATTAAATTTGTACGAATGTCATAATTATTTATGAAGAAAATAAATCATTTAACAAACAATGTAGTCGTTTCAACGTTTCAATAAATCATTTAAATTTCTGCACTATTTCATTCTCCATAATGTCAACAATATTTTAATTTCCAATTATTTCAATATAATTAATTAATATCTGGTTTGTTTAATATCGCAATAGAGAAAAGCATGATTTTCGTTTGAGTGGATGATTGAATGCACTTCATTAAGTTAATTGAAATATTCTGATGAAACAAATTTATAATTTATCATTTGCTCTATATTTAGCATAAAGGAACTCATAAATATAGAATTGCATATGTATACCTTCTGCACACTAAATGAAAGATAGGTCACAAAATGTAAGCTTGAGTAATAACATACACAAAATTATATTTGTATTGTATACTCTCTCTAAAGTAGTGTTTCAGATATAATTTATTTTATATACCTGACAAAATGTTATAATTAGTGAAAAGCTGAATATAAACTAGTTTAGGTAAGATTTTGCCTTAAAACAAGTTGCATGTAATATCAATAAGAATTGAGATTCGGATATTTAGGTAAACTGTTCAACTGTTTATTTCGAGAATAAAAAATTTCAACAAATAGTTACTGAATAGTAAGAAACGGCTTGGCAGATCCTTACCAAAAACTAATCGACACGATTCCCAACCAATATCTTTCAAACGATTTTTCAAATAGATGCAGGATTGTGAACAAAAAAAATAGACGAACGTGTTCGCATTTTTTGCTAATTATAAAGAAACGCCTCGGCCGGCCGGCCGGCAAATCTGATAAACGTTCTTAAATTTTTATTTGGCTTAAATTTGATATTTTAAGAAAAATGTCGACGCAGGAGCAATAATTGGCTCACATACACGCGCACACAAACTTTTCCAAATTTGGTCTCGTGCAGTTCAGAATGACTTGAAACGTCCAGAAAAAACTAAACACGCAAATCTGATTTTCTAGCTATTACATATACTTTTCCTTCGGGAAGTTAATAAATATAATAATAGTTCGGTATTAATCTCAAAATTTGTATCGAAATGTTGTATTGTAGTTAGCAGATTTGTAAGAGCTAAGAAATAAAAGTTAGTTTTACAGATTCCACTAGCTTTTTGACTATAGTAGACGACCAATATTTTCAGATGGCCCAACT